ACATGTTTTTTATTTTCCCCTGTATTAGGACTGAAAAAAGGCCACTCGGGGGCGAAACTTTTCCTTTAAAAATAAATTCCCGAACTGTACATAAGTGTCTTTTCCAACCCGTCGGTTCACCATACCCATTTCCTCACTGTGGTAGTAGTAGTGAAAAAAAGTTTGTAGTATAAACAATATGGTAAAGAATTAATTCGTAAATGAGAAAAAGGATAAAAAAAGTATATTTGGGTAACATAAAATGGGTTTGGCAAATATAGCGGGAGGCAGCTTGTTTCAGTGTTCACTCCTGTAATGTGCTTTGGTAGTAAACAGGAGAGATATGTGAAGGCAGGGTTTTTACTGTTTTTCAGGAGGAATTTCCTTCTTTTTTCATCAAAGACGCAAAAAAAAGAGCTCTTAGATTAAATTTTCCACTCACCAACGCCACTCCCCCCAAATTTTTAAAAATTTTTTAAAGTTGGTAGAATTACCGACAATATGTAAAGTAAAAGGACCAATGCAATAAAGTGACATTTTATTGTGGGAACGTTTTCCCTCCCAGGGCTTTATCAAGCCATTACAAACAATACTGGACACAGAGGGGATAAAAATCAAGGGAGGTGAATATAGTGAGGAATTTCGGGTGTTCCTTGTGGTAGTAGTAGAGAGTAGTGGTAGTGGGCAAAAAATAATACAAAAATTTTTAATACAAAAGAATCAATTTGTATTATACCCCTAGTGAACTCGAAATGGTACCTCACTAGTATTGCACCTCACTTGGCTTTTTATACCCCCTGTGCCCCTTTTGTTGTAAGGCCCTTTTCCAGCTGAGGGACTGCCCCTAAAACCTTTAAGGGTGATGACGATTTAAACGTCTTCAAGTCTCTTCTCCCTTCTATCAACTTTTTTTGTACTCGATTGAAGAAGCCTCTGTGTAGCGAAACGTTTCGAAATAAAAGATACCCAAATGTTGCATAAGTGTCTTTCCTAACAACCCTTTGGTATTTTAACCCCTTTTAATGTTCAATGATTGTTTTTAATGGCTTGATGAAAACTTTGGGAGAGCGAAAACGTTGCCACATAAAAGGCAATTAGTTGCAGATATATATTATAAACAAAAACGGGCCCCCCGACGATCCCCGTGGAACGCCACTTGTTACAGATCCCCACCGGATTTAACCCCATTTTTGGACACTGCTTCCGTCTTTTGGGATGACTCCCTCCAGAGGCCTTTTCCCCAATGCATGAGCTGATTTCTTTAACATCTTTGGTGCGGAACTCATCAAAAGCCTTTTCTAAAAACTAAGTAAATAATATCAGATTCTTTTTCGTGGTCAACAGTCTAAAACTTTACTAGAAAGTTTTAATAAATTGTTTAAAAAGACGGCCCTCTTGTGAAACCATTGAGTATATTAATCAAAATATGGGTTATCGAGATGGCTTCTTATAAACTAGATAACTGACTAGTTTAAATTTGCCTCAATTGGTCAGGCTTATTGGGCGGTAATTTGACGGTAACGATTTTCCCCCCGTTTTAAAAAAAAGGAATTACATTACCATTTTACATATCAGACACTACACCTGTTTAAGAGATAAATTAAAAAAATTTGTTTAAAGGGTTTACAATTCCATTTTGCATTCCTTAACAACCCTTGAAAAAAATCATAGGGCCGGCTATTATTTTGCTTCAGCGTCTATCTGCTTCACAACCAATTTCACTAGTGCTGTGATGTTACTAATTTATTTCTTTTAGCCCCCATAAAAATTTAATTTTTGGAATATTGTTAGGCTTCCGTGTAAAAAAAGAAAGAAAAAATAATTATTTAAAAAACGACACATTTATTCCTTTTCAGTAAAATTTCCCAGTTATTTTTAGGGGGCCTTCTTACTCAAATTTTTTTCTAAAAGAACCCGGAAAAAACTTTTTGGTTAGTTTTCGAAAACCTTAGCAACCTTAATTTCATAGTCCCTTTTAGCTTTTCTTATCCCCCCTTTTTTTGTCCCCCTTTAATGTCAAATATGATTCATAAAATGACCCCCACCTTTTTGATACGCCTTGAATTCCCTTTTTATCCCCGTAGATTTTCAGTTATTATTCTCCATTTTGGGTCTTTCTTTTATCTAATTTCCTTATACGGGATAAAAAGTTCTTTGAGCAGCATGTATAGTGTTCAGAAACCGTCATGTTTATAGCTCTCTTCGTTTCCCCCCTCAACAGATGATAAATGTTCTCAAGCCCTTTGTAATCTGTAAGCGAAAACTGGGAGTTTTCTGAGTTATCCCAATCATACTTTTATTCAATGTAAATGTAATTTATTGTGGGCTAACCCATTTTGAAATTTCTAAATTATTTAAAAAGGATTCATTGTTTGCCAAATAAATCAAGCAGGTTATTTCCCCTTGTAGGTTCGTCACAAAATGCTTCAAAAAAAAATCCTACTATTCTAAGAATCGTATGATTCTAAAATTTCCCCGTCAAGAAATCCAATCAATAGACTAAAGTTGTTCCTAGAATTACCATTATCGTGTCTTGTGGCCCAACAATTTCCTCCCCAAATATCTCCCTTGGTCCCTATCTAAGTTTGGGGGACGGTATATTACACCTAAAATCAATTTTTCATGCCCCTCTGAAAATTCTATCCAAACAGACTCTGTATGTGTTACTTCAGACTTAATACCCGTTTTTATGCCTGGTCACAGACCGGGCCGCGGGGGCGTTGACCCCCGGAACTCTCTCCAGGTAATCTCCAGGTAAACAGTTCAAGCGATCTCGGACATACAATGCCACCCCACCCCCCTTCCCGACACTTCTATCTACTTGGAACAATTTAAAACCTTGAATGTGACATTCCGCAGGCATGTCCCGATTTTTCATATTGAACCACGTCTCAGTTAAGGTTTTCAAAACCATTCATCACAAGGCAAATACATCAATGTTAACTGCACTAGCAATACTGTCTCAACTTGTCCATCTTATTCCTAGCACTACGACTATTTGTGTAATATACATTTAAGGACTCTCCTTTCTCTTTACCCTTCTTGCTCCTTTCTGTTATTTTGCTAAACCTATTACTGTCCCGACTTTTTGAATTAAACCACGTCTCAGTTAAGGCAAATACATCAATGTTACCTGCATTAGCAACTAATCTCAACTCTTCCATCTTATTCCTAGCACTACGGCTATTAGCATAATAAACATTGAAAAACTCTCCTTTCTCTTTACCCTTCCTGCTCATTTCTGCTTTTCTACTAAACCTATTACTGTCCTTATCACCCAATGTCACTGACTTTTCAATATCTACCTCGTTCTGCTTATTACTAGTTCCCCTAGAACTCATAATATTACTACACTGGGACTTCACTGTTTTCCTGCCAAAACCCATACCACTAATTATTCCTAGTTTAAAGTCCTAACAGCTGCCTCCACTGCAGTTGCCAGTGCTCCCACCCCAGACCTAGATAAGTGAACCCCATCCCTGGCATACATGTCATTTCTGCCATAGAAGAGGTCCCAGTTGTCAATGAATGTTACCGCATTTTCCTTACAGTATTTGTTCAGCCAGCAATTGACACCAATTGCCATGGACAACCATACATTTCCAAATCCTCTCCTTGGCAAAATACCACATATGACAGGGTTCCCACTCTTCCTCCTAATTATTTCTATTGCTGACCTATACCTGCTAATCAGATCTTCACTCCTACGTCTGCCAACATCGTTGCCTCCAGCACTGAGACAGATAATAGGATTGCTCCCATTACCTCTCATGATGTCATCCAGATGGCTAACAATATCCTCCATCCCAGCCCCAGGAAAGCAAACCCTCTGTCTCTTACTCCTGTCCTTCAAGCAGAATGCCCTATCCATATACCTAACTTGGCTATCCCCAACAACAACAAAATTCTTACCTTCCTTGGTGTCGTTCGTCGTGACGTTCCCAGTAGTCGACTCACATTCGTCGGGTAGCACTGAGAATGTATTAGATGTTTCCACAACAGTTTCCACGGCAGTCTCCTTCTTCTTCATCGTTTCTACCTTTCCATTCGTCTTCTTGATCGTCAACTTCGCTCCCTGCTGTCCAGCCACTGACCAGTTTCCTTTCTTGACCTGAGGACTCAAAACAGGAGGACTACTACGAATCTTCTTGTTTTCCTCGGTCAGTCGCCGAATCTCCATCTTCGCCATCCTCAATTCTTCCTTAAGCTGTTGGTAAAGTTGCTCGATGGAGGGCATCTTGCTTCAGTTCGAAGAGAGCGCGCAAACAGGTTTTCACAGAGCTAAGTACACGTCACCACTGACAGAGTTAAGTACACGTCACCACTGACAGAGTTAAGTACACGTCACCACTGACAGAGTTAAGTACACGTCACCACTGACAGAGTTAAGTACACGTCACCACTGACAGAGTTAAGCACACGTCACCACTCCTACACGCCGCTACAGTGAAGAAAATCCAAAACCAAATCCGTGGGAAAGTAGTCCGTGACTATGCTTTTACTCCATGGGATGCCCATGGGATGCCCATGGGACGCCCATGGACCCTGGCGCATGTCATCAGACCTCAGCACAGGTCTCATATTTTTGAAATCGGAAAAGGACTTTGTTGACATCCAGTGTACTTAAGGTTCGGGGAGCCTTTAATTCTAATTTCATCACAATTTTTTTAATAAACTTGAATTAAAATAGCTACGCCAGCAGGGAACAACACAGTGTTTGTGTATTACCTTTAAAGGTTAAACTAATTTCGAAAATTAATGTTGCTTATGAAAAATTAAGGGAAGTAATGAAAACCGAAATTTTAAGAGAAAAGTTTTTAACAATAATGAAGAGAAAATCTCTTACTGAAAGGGCTTTTTTTTCTATTGATGTGAACGTATACAGTGAGATGTGTACTGTTCATGTGAATTGTAACATTAATAAACTAGGTGTTGTTGAAGAGGTCTTAGACCTAATAAACAGTGTTTTAAATATACACTATTTCTTTTTTTTACAGTTTTTAATATTTTTCAGTACTCACCATTTATAGATGGTCATGATGTGGACGGTGACTGTTGTGTTGCTCTCACACCAGCACACAACTGGCTGGGACTCTTGTGTTGCTCTCACACCAGCACACAACTGGCTGGGACTGTTGTGTTGCTCTCACACCAGCACACACCTGGCTGGGACTCTTGTGTTGCTCTCACACCAGCACACAACTGGCTGGGACTGCTGTGTTGCTCTCACACCAGCACACACCTGGCTGGGGCTGTTGTGTTGCTCTCACACCAGCACACACCTGGCTGGGACTGTTGTGTTGCTCTCACACCAGCACACACCTGGCTGGCACTGTTGTGTTGCTCTCACACCAGCACACACCTGGCTGGCACTGTTGTGTTTTTTCACAAAACCACACCGTCGGGCCGGGTTGGGTTGCTCCACACCAGCACACAACTGGGGGCATGTTGTGTTGCTTCACACCACCCCCCACACCTGGCTGGCACTGTTTGTTCTCCACACCAGCACACACCTCCCTGACTATAATATCACATTGCCTGTTCATTTGCGTTAGAGTAAAGTAAAATCAGCCCATTCAAGGGATTACCACGTTTGTTTAGGGAAACAAAAAGAATTATTTTCCTTTGTGACACTAACCGACCGGGAAGCGGTTTGGGCTATGAATGGGGGGCGTCCAGGGCTACCTGACTTCCTTTACACAGTATAAAAGATAAAATATTTACATTTTATACCAAAACTGTTTAAGTTTCGAGGGGGAGGGCCGGCTTTTTCCTGTTTCAACTTTTAGTCTTTTTTTTTAAAAGAAATTTAAAAAGTAATAATTCCCAAGGTCAAGGAACCGAAATAAAACATATACCCCCCCTAGATTATACCCCCCTGAGATATATCCCACCAAAGGTATAAAACCACCAGAAAATTTTCCCACCTAGGATATATACCCCCCTAGAGACATATACCCCCCTAGAGATTTTACCCCCTGAATATATACCCACCTGAATATAACCCACTAGGATATTACCCACCGAGATATTTCCCCCAAGTAATACCCCCTAGATGCATATCCACCTAGGACATATATCCCCAGGATAATACCCACCTAATACTACCCACCTAGAGATACATACCACCTAGAGATACATACCCACCTAGAGATAAACCCCCTAGAGAACTCCCCTTTAGAGATATTACCCACCTAGAGAATGTACCCATCAGAGATAGACCCACCAAGAAATACCCCCCCAGAGTTTTATACCCCCCCCAGAGATATATACCAAACCAAAAGATATAACCCACCGAGAGTATATACCAACCCAAATATATACCCACCTAGAGTTTAAAACCCCAAACAAAACACATACCCCCCTAGAGATATATCCCCACCTGAGATATATACACATCTAAGACTTATACCCACCCAGAGATAATACCAACCCGAATATCCCCACCAAGATATATACCCACCTAGAGATTAACTCACCAAGAGATATATACCCACCCAAGATAATCCCAACCTAAAGATAATACCCACTAGGGGGACATATACCCACCCAGGATTATCCCAAACCCTAGGAGATATATACCCCCTTTATAATACCCACCTATAGATATATACCCACCTAGAGTTTTAAATAGCCACCTAGAGAGCATACCCCCTATTTTTATTATACCCACAAAATTATATCCCCCACCTAAAACCTATCCCCACCTAATACTACCCCCTAGAGATCATACCCACCTAAAGATGCAAATCCACCTAGAGACATATACCCCCCTAAACATATACCCCCCTAGAGAAACATACCCACCTAGAGATACATACCCACCTAGAATACAACCCACCAGAAACATACCCCCAGAGATTACCCCCCAAAGATATTACTCACCCAGAGATATAAACCAACCTAAAGATATATACCCACCTAGAGACATATCCCCCAAAGTATATATCCCAACCAAAAGATATATACCCCCCTAGAGAAAATTTGCCCACCTAGAGCATATACCCACCTGAGATATATCCCAAACCTAGAGATTTTATACCAACCTAGAGAAAAATCCCCACCCAGAGATATATACCCACCTAGAGATATATACCTACCCCCCGGGAGAATAACCAAACCTAGAGATATTTTTAAAAAAAATTTTAGACATAAAATTAAAAATTTCCCCCCCAGAGATTTTTTACCCACCCAGAAAAATATCCAACATAAAAAATTTACCAACCTAGAAGATCCCCACCCAAATATATACCAACTAGAGATTATACCAACCTGAATTTATTTCCAAACCCTAGAGTTTAATACAATATAAAGATATATACCCCCCCAGAGATTATCCCAACCTAGGATAAAACCCAACCCTAAAATATATACCCACCAGAGATATATACCCACCGAGTTTAATACCAACCTAGAGAAATTTTACCACAGAGATATATACCCCCCCTGAGATATATCCCAAGGGTAGAGTTTATCCCAACCTAGGATATTACCAACCTAGAGACATATACCCACCCAGGATAATACCACCTGGGTATTCCCCACCCAAAAGATATATACCACCTGAGAATATACCCCCCCAGAGATATTCCCCCTAAGATTATCCCACCCAGAGAATATTCCCACCCAGAATATATCCCAAAACCCTAAAGATAAATCCAAACTTGGATGTATACCAACCTAGATTATATACCAACCTGAGAATATACCCTCCTAGAGATAATACCAACCTAGAGCATATTCCCACCTAGAGATATATACCGCCAAAGGTTTTTCCCCCCGAGTTATATACCAACTAGAGATAAAACCCAAACCCAAAGATATAACTCCCCAGAGATATATACCAAACCTAGAGATATAACCAACCCTAAAAAAATATATACCCCCCCGGGAATAATACCCACCCAGAGTATTACCCCCCTAGATAATATACCGACCTATAATATTACCCCCCAAAGATATATACCCCCGAGATATATATACCAACCTGGACTCCCAACCTACGATTTATACCCCCCTACAGATTATACCCCCCTAGAGACCCCCATCTAGAGAATATACCACCTAGAGATTTACCCACCTAAGACATATCCCCACCAAAAGATGAGAATATAACCCCTAGAGACATATGCCCACTGAGCCCCCACCTAGGTATACCAACCTAGAGATATATCCCCCCCAAGAGACATATACCCCCCCAGAGATATTACCCACCGAGATATATCCCCCAGAGATATATACCAACCTGAAACATAACCCACCCGAGATTATACTCACCCGAGAAAATCCCCCCCGATTTATCCCAATCTAAAGATAAAACCAAACCTAGAGAATAAAACCACTAGCGAATATCCCCACCGAGATATTTCCCACCTGAGATATATCCCAACCTAAATATATTACCCCCCCAAGATATATAAAAACCTAGAGAATTACCAAACAAAAGTATATACCCCCCCATGATATCCCCCCAGAGATATATCCCAAACCAAAGATATATCCCCACCAGAATTATACCCCCCCAGAGATATATACCCCCCAAAATTATTCCCAACCCTAGAGATAATACCCACCCAGAGTTTTTCCCAACCTGAGACTTTCCCCACCCGGGAAATTACCCTCCTAGAGATATTCCCCACCCAGAGATATTCCAAAACCTGAATACTACCCCCCTAGAGAATATACCCCCCCAAGATTAACCCACCTAGAGAAAATACCCACCCAGAGATATTACCCCCCAAGATTTACCCCTAATGTTACCAAAACCTAGGATTTCCCAAACCCTAGAGATTTTTCCAATTAAGATGTATACCAAATAGAGACATATACCCCCAAAGATTATATACCAACCTAGAGATATTCCCAATTTAGGATGTTACAACTAAGACATATCCCCACGAGACATTACCAACCCTAGAGATTTATAAAACCTAAAGATTATACCCACCCGAGATAATACCAAACCCTAGGAATATACCAGCCTAAAATATATACCCACCCGAGATATATCCCAAACCCTAGAGATATGTCCAAACCCTAAATATATAACCACCCGTGATATAACCAACCTAAGATTATACCCACCTAGAGACAATATCCACCTAGAGACTACCCCCACCTAGGAATATACCCCCCTAAGACATACCAACCTGAAGAATTTCCCCACCTAGAGACATAAACCCACCTAAAAAACATATACCCCCCAAGGACAAAACCCCACCTAAGAATATACCCACTGGGGGTGCAAAGAGTAGTAACCTTTATTCGGGCATGTACACACCCTCATTTACAGCTATCTCCCCCCCAGCGAACCAGGTTGCTAAGGTTGATGATGGGGCCCCGTCGTTCAACTAGTGCCAGGTTCTAGCCAATAAGAAAGGTTTTTGGCAATGCAGATTTTTTGGGGTACCCCTCTTCTGTCTCCCTTGTCATTCCCATTCAGGTGGTTTTTAAAACACGGTCGCTATCTTTTGGCTTCTATTTTGCTTTGCTTCCCTGGAGTGCACTATACTTTTCACTTCAAAAGGTACATTTGCGTTCTTAAATTGGTATAGGTAATATAAAACTAAAATTTTTTACTGTGTTTTTTGCGACCCTTACACCCGGGGTAAAAGGCCCTTTTGGGAATCCTGGGTTGTATACCCCCCTAGAGACAGTACCCACCTAGGACGACCCACCTAGAGTATATACCCCGTGAATATCAAAAGCTTTAACTTATTTTTTTAACGTAGGCCTATTTTAAATTTACGACGTGTTTTGCTGGGGCGCAGTCCCAGTAAAAAGAAACCAACTAAAAACAAAAAAGAATTTTAAATTTTTTAAAATACAAGACTGACCTTCACCTGCTGCTGCACCATCAGTTATTATGTGTTATTATTATAAGTTATTGTTTTACAATAACAGTCAAGTTGACATGATTAATTAACATATTTCAGTCTTTCTTATACCTGTACGATAGATGTTTCAGGTCTGGCAGCCTACTGTATGATAGATGTTTGAAGTCTGGCAGCCTACTGTATGATAGATGTTTGAGGTCTGGCAGCCTACTGTATGATAGATGTTTGAAGTCTGGCAGCCTACCGTATGATAGATGTTTGAGGTCTGGCAGCCTACTTGTAATGATAAGATGTTTGAAGTCTTGGGCAAAACCCTTATCGTTAATGGGTAGATTTTTTGAGGGCTGGCAGCCTACCGTATGATAGATGTTTGAGGTCTGGCAGCCTACTGTATGATAGATGTTTGAAGTCTGGCAGCCTATCATATGATACATGTTTGAGGTCTGGCAGCCTACCGTATGATAGATGTTTGAGGTCTGGCAGCCTACTGTATGATAGATGTTTGAAGTCTGGCAGCCTACTGTATGATAGATGTTTGAG